GAAACTTCTCCAATTCCTCCGGAGGAATGTAGTCTCCCATGTGATGCCCTTTCTTCCCTGCACGCATACACCTCCTACATCTCAATCCCTCCATCCTCACCCTCCATTCACTCCAATCCTGCACATTCTCCACTATTCCGCAAACACTGCCACACACCTACAACACTCCCTCCTACCATAATCTAATCTCCCACTCAATCCACTCATTCAATCTTTCACATCCTCCATTCATGCCATCGTCCAACATCCACAACCTCCCAAGTCTTCATCCACTCCCACGTGACACTGCAACTTCTAACAATTCTACAACCCCGCGTCCCTTGCATGCCCTCCACTCCCAACGTCCTCCGCCTCCCCCATGCATGCGCAAGAAAACCTACATACTCTACCCCACATCCATGCATGTATTCAGATAGTTTTGTCAGGATATAAACCTGCGCCACCATCCTCGACCACCCCTACGCTAGGGGTTACATAGCTGGGACGTGCATCTTCTGAATCCCACACATCACTGCATTAAGCCGCTACCTCTACCAATTCTCATCAACCTTCTCCACCACCACACCAATGCTTTGCATCATCAACATTCCACGTCTTTACAAAACCACGCCAATGCAACGCAAACCCCTACATCTTCCACTTTACCTGCCACACCCGCTTCTTCGTGTTTCCAACTATCTGTCATCAACAAACCACCTCGAAACATCAGACTCGAGCTCCGTTCCACGCACCCTCCACCATGTGCGCATGCCACACCATACACACACACATATCCATGCCACTAAAACCTTCCACTGCACATCCTGCCAGGACCCCCCGAGCCATGATCATGTCCCATCATTCACAACACCACCACCTTCCCACCCTTGCATGCTACCACTCTAACCATTCTCCCCTACCTGATCCTGGCGGATGCAGCCCCGGAGGAGGAGGCATCTCATCCTTCGACTGCTTCGGAGGTCTTCGTATCGCCTCCTGCGCTGCCTTCTTCATGTAAAACTCCATCATTGCCACTGAATCATTTGCATAACCCTGCTGGCTGTATCGATCACCACCAACCCTACTACCCACTCCAACCGCATTACCACATCACCGCCTTTCCCCATTGCACCACCTCATCCATACATTACCACCACGCGCCCACCAAACACAACCGCCCACATCAACCACCAAATCCTCCCACCACATTACTATTCACGACGCCACACATCCACGCCCAGCTTTCCACTCCCATGCTCTCAATATTGTATGCTCCACCTCACATCACCCCTCCGTATTGCTTCTTCCAACCTTTACTATCCGACAACGCCACAAACCAACTCATCCTCCTGTCCCCGCATCCGTACCTTGCACCGACTCCTGTGAAGGCCCCGGTGAATAACCTGCCTTATGCTGCTCACTGCCGCCGCTGTACAATGCCGAAGCTGGTGTCTGATACCTCTGCTGCTGTCCTCCACTCGACTGCCTGTGAGAGCTACCCTGATTCGCGCCACTGCTTCCTGCATCCAATTACATGTCGTCCCCTCAAACCCCCACCTGCCAACCTCTCCAACAAACCCCAAACCGCTTCTACCGCTCCAACACCCACACATACATCCCCACCAACTCCCCCACTTCAAATATCATCTCCACTCCAGCACCCACTCCCTACCTGTCTGCGATGCCTGCGATCCACCCGCTTCGCCTGCCAGCACTGCCTCCTCTTGAGCAACCCGATACTCGTAGTACTTATACTCCGCACACTCCGTATCGTACAAAAAACTGCTCACACTCGCCACTCCTCCAAAATCATCACCCGCCCCACACATGCCCTCCAACCATCCACACGCCATCCACGCCATGCACCAAAATCCCCAAATCACCAACACCACCATCTCCACATGTACCACTACCCACCATCCAAAACTTGCAACCGCAACTTCTAACTTGACGCACGACTACACACCTGAACGGACCCTTGCCAAGGTTTTTCTCACGGGTCACCTCCTCGAATTGCCGCCCGTTCTTTGCTACAAACAGCGCTAGCTTATCCGCCACCTTCTTCACCTCTCCGTCTGCTGGAGGAGCAGGAACTGCACCATTTCCACACAACAACATGCTATGGCCTCAGTCATATTCAAATATCCCGTCACTACGTCCTTCCCCTACAATCCTCCCTACCCTCCACGATCACCCTCCTCACACTGCCCTTCACCTTCACCTCCACCTCCACCTCCACCTCACCCAAAGTCATCACAAATAACCGCACCCAACACCATCCCCCATGCTATCTCACCCGACTCCTTCGGCTCCGGTGATTTGCCCTTCGACGCGCTCTCCGTCTTCACCTTCTTGGCTTGTCTCTGGGCATCCCCGTCTTCCTCCTCGTCCTCGTCTTCTCCAAGTTTGATTGCGTTCACCGCCAACCTCGACTTCTGCTTTAGACTGAATGCTAGCTTCCCGTTCGGTAAAGATCCCTTCCTGGGCCCTCCGAACGCTGATCCACCTCCACCCTTGCTGTTCGAGCTCGCTTTTGACGACTTCACATTCTTCAACACCACGGGACCGCTTGTGTCGGCCTTCGAGGGACCGTCCTGCTGCAGCTGCTTGAACCTCTCCAAAAACGATCCATCGTTGGGAAAAGGGCTCGCCATCCTCTCCGCTGCCTCCTATCTTCCTGCTGCTCCCGCACTCTTACTGATTCACTTTCACACCCCCTTCCTGTCCGCTCCACAACTTCCAAATTGCCTCCAGATCAAGTCGCACTCCAGTGCATCAACGATCTCACGGAAACCTACCCTTGCACGCTCTTACATAAAACACGCCCTCCAATCTATTCACTCCTCGGAAAATGTACCAGACCAACTCCCGAGCACCCTTGCGATCATCTCCTAATCATCATCCCCCAATTCACTCCCAATACGCTCGACCTGTCACTTCACTGGAACCAGCCCAGGCTAATAGACCTGTCTCGCGAGGATAAAGCCAGTATTATGAATTACGAACTAGGGACAAAAGCAAATTGTGGCGTTAATCTTTATCAAAGGCTCACAAAGAACGCTGTATCTGGTACCGAATCGTCGATGCAGAGCAACATCATGATCTGAACATTGTGCACTGGCTGCCGCCAATTCCACCCCCTGCTCATACTCCAGGTCAGCAAGTCTACATTCTGCAGTTGCCCCCACACGCACCTATCTCATATCAACGTCATCTACCCAACTCCCTCGGACAGTCTCCCCGTTTCCAACTCCCAGTTCCCAGCGCATGATCGTGGTTCACAGCCAACAAAAATCACTACAACTCCACTGCAAGGACTCCGCCCAAACCCTAGCACAAAATGCATTGATCTGTAATTTCTCCAATTTCGGTGCAATTGTCTTGCACATCACACGTAGAAACTGATCGTCTACCCCCACCCGTTTCTAGCCATCTCAGAAGGTTCAACCTCATCGAAAATCATTGTCATGACCGGCAGATGAAGCAAAAGGAGTAACAAATTCTGGCAACTCATACCTCAAGTCTGACTTCTGCCACCAACCCCTGCCAATCCCTGGAAGAACTTCTGGACGTGTCTTGCTCGTCTGACTCGCGACTCATCACACATTATTCACGAGTTCAACCTAATCATGATTCAGAAAATACTGAACTCCACAGATGACACAAAGACGGCCAGTCTATCCATGCTCAGGACACGAAATTCTTGCAAGCCACAGGGCCTAACCTACCTGCCAGCACGCAACTGTTCACCCTAAATTCACAGTGATACTACTGCTGTAACGAGATTTTCATAATACAAAGTGATTGTTGAGAGTACAAGTGAAATAAACAACAAAATCCGGGCGTGCGTGCGCAAAACCTGAGGAGCCGAGCTGAATTTGGAGCAGCGGAGCCCTAATTGCTAGAAAACCTTGACATGGAAGCGGCATGAGGTGGACGGGGGAGAGAACATCAGTTTTTGGAATAATGATGTTAGATCCTTGTTCATTCTTTCAGTGACGAGCGTGAACATTCGTCCTCATCACGCTTGCCAAGTTTGGAATAAGATGGACCAGTGTGAACACGATGAACGAATTTTTCGATGAACTTGTCTTATGGCTTTCGTTTTCATCCATCAACCGATTTTGAAGACCCCAAAGGATGTTCCTTGTGGCCAACCACTCCACATTCTCACAGCATTATTCGTTGAACTACAAATGTTATCGTTTTTACTTTTTCTTTTTAATTGAACAGATGTTTATCCACTTTCTCCTGCGATTGTATTCTCTTATTCTTTATTCGTAAAAGCTAAAAGTTTGTGTCAACAATTAAAAAATGAAGTAAAAACGATTTTTATTGTATCTTTGTTCTTTGATTTACGAACTATTTATAATGTGGGTCATTCCCTTTACTTTCTAATTTTCGTAATAACGCTTTGTGAGTGATAGGAAATTAATTTCATGTCCACATTCACCTTTTCATGTAAATACCCATGCATACAAGTATTTTTGCTCAGAAGTCGTTTATTGGTTCCAGACACGATACAAAAGCAATTTCCTTACCATTTCCATAATACCCAACAGAAAAATGATATGGTTTTAGATTCTTCCTTGAAGCAGGGTTCGCAACGATGAACCAATGAGAAGCAAATGAATCTGAGATATTTGGTCCCGAGTAAGAATAAACAACGCAATCAAAAAACATCAGAACAGAACAGACAGGGTTGCGTGGCTCATCTGTGTCCACCTCATCACATTTCCATAGAAGCTTCCACGGCATCAAGGCCTCGCGCCAAAACCTGAACATCCAAGGCATCGGAGCAGCCCCGGGGTATAGGACACGTGGCATCACGTGATGGGCAGAGATAAGCAAACCCTTAGTCGAAGTGGGTTCAGTCAATACGTGGGTTGGTGACGTGGTGGG